GTGGCTTGTAGCTTTCCTTTTGGCCATAGACCCAACAGTTTTGCAATTGATGGAGGTCGCTTATCCAAAGAATTGAGTTTTTGAAACAGGTTCTTTCGAGGTACGTCATGATTTTTACAATGCAGAACAATGTGCTCCGCGTCTTCTTGAGCTTCTCCACATGAGCAGGTAGGACTGCCAGCTTTCCTCATTCTATGCAGGAAAGCCTTCGTGTAGGCTGTACCAAGTCGAAGCCTGTGGATGACTGTTGCTACCGATAGGCTAACCTTTACCGGAATATTCAAATTTATACCGGGATCAATGTTATACAACAGGGAGCTCTGCGCACCATTTTAGAACCAGGTTTCCTTAGACAGTTGACAGCTCAGCTTAATTATTAGACACCGTGCATCGCTCGTCGATAGAGGTAGCAGTGATATATTATTTTCTTGATGTGCTGCACGTGCAATGTGATCAGCTATGTCGTTTCCTGTGATTTCACAGTGGCTTGGCACCCACTGGAACATTATGGTGTGGTTTAAATCTTTTGATGTAGCGTACGTCCTCTGTATTTCATATGCGAGCTCACTAGCTTTGTTTCCCAAGCTGATTCCTTTTATAGAAACTAATGAGGACTGTGAGTCACTGATAACTACCCATCGAAGTGGACCTGGCTGTAAACATATGACGCGTAAAGCACAGAGTATTGCATAGAGTTCTACCGTTGTGGATGTTGTGAAATGGCTGAGTTTAAAAGCTTTTCTCGCTTGGTATGCAGGTACAAAGATTGCCGACGTAGAGCTTTGATTCAGACATGAACCGTCGGTGTACACGTGAATATAGTCTTCATAGTTAGTATAAAGGTGTGTTAAAGTTAATTGCGTTATTACGATAATGGGCAAATCGTTCTTACAATTTATTTCCGGAATCGAAGTGGCAATATCTGGGATAGAGAGTCGCCTTGGTGGGTGGAATGCACACGGAGGCCAGTATTCGTGCGTAGGCAGTAAACCTTTGAATTCTACTATATTTTTATGTATTCTTGCAGCTGATCTCTCCTGAATAGCTTGGTATAGGGGATGATTAGCGTGTCAAGTTGCCAACCGAAGATAATGCTGGCAAGTTTCCGTAAATCTCATAGCATGGAAAGTTGGTTGACGAGACTCTGCAATTACTAAAGCACTGGCAGACGCTCGCAGTACACCAACAATCTGGCCAACAATCTTTGAATCCTCTCCTCTAAGTTACGTGATATTCCATGTAAAACCGGGGCAGAGTAAGCTATTCTTTGTCGAATTATTGCTGAATGTACACGCAATAAAGAAGAACATGAACTACCCATCTCAGCTCCGGTCAGTCAACATAATATATTGATTAGGGAGTTGACTTTGTCCTCTAATGATTTTATGTGTGGTGCCCAAGACAGACATCTGTCCAAAATAACCCCAAAAATTTGTGCTGCCGCACAAGTTGTAAGCTCTGAGAGTCTATCTGACGTTTGAATTTCTTAAGTCATTTCCCTGTGAACGGAAGTACAGATGTTTTCTCATGGGAAATAATTATGCCTCTGCTCTTAAAGAAGCCATTCATTATTGTCAGCCCATCTTGAAGCTTTTGCTGAACTGCTAGAATGCTCGTGTCTGATGCCCAAATGCAAAGATTGTCTTCAATTATGATGTGTTATCGCCCTCGGCGAAACATCGTGCAGTCACATAATATCCCAGGCCGACGACAATAAAGAAAATTTGCAGTTCTGTAGGCTTATGTCCCTACTTCTGGTGCTTAGTTTACGATTTCGCATTTATCATATCACCATTGACAGAGCTTCTACAAGATAACGTGGACCTCTCCACCTGATCTCCTGCATGCGACACCACCTTCACTACGCTCTGCCCCCTGCTCACTTCTCCACCTATTCTTCGCCACTTTGACCTGACAGCTCCTAGCCAAGTACACACAAACTCCAGCTGCGCAGTGCCTGGCGCGGTCCTCGCTCGACGAATGCCTGGCTTAATCCTTTGTTTGTACCTAATTATTTTCTTGATTTGAATAATGATTCTAATTAAGATTCTAATGAGGTTTTTCTCTTGTGCGTAGATCACCCTGTATTTCTTTATGCAGCTCAGAAGCATAAGAAGTCAGGTGATGCCAAAATTCGTCCATTGGCTTTTATCGTGTCATAATGAGCCTACAATGGCGAAAGTTTAGTCATCATTTTCTTTTGTATTCCTTGAAAACGCAGCTCTTTGCTATATGGCTAAAAAACTGCACGGTCGCTGAGCGAACGACACAGCGAGCTCTGCACTTGCGTTTACGAAATGAAGCACAGCGACTGATCGAATCTAACCAGTTCGCCTCATTTGATATTCGTGTGGTGCACGACTGGTGAACGGCATGCAACGAAGGCTCGTGGGCACTCAACTTTGAGCTGGAAGCACACCTAACCGACGACCGAGTCGCAGAAGATTACGCCTCCGTAGCAGCCTATGAGGAAAACACTGCTGCTACGCTGTCGTTGCTGAGTCACCGCAGGGAGAATCTCAAGGCGTTGACGTCCAAGATTCATGGCAGTGTGGCAACCCACCTTGAGAACTCTGGTGTTCGCCACTGCAGGAAGCCGTGTCCTTGGTGATCAGGTGACACACGGCACTGTCGTGCCTGTTCTCGTCGCCCTAAACTGGGGCTGCTTCACTTCACGCAGTGACAACCTTTCTGGGATATGTTCAGGCACGTGGTTCACGAAAACCCTGGTCTATCAAACATTGAACGGTTCCACTATTTGAAGAGCCTAGTGGACTGAACAAGCATTGAAGACCACGGACGGCATCGAAGCCATGGAGGAGTCGAACAAAGACGCCATCATTCTTCTAAAGAACTGCATTGAATACAAAAACTTCATCTAACACCAATACAGTAACGTCCTTTAGAAATGTGGCTTCATTGCGCAACTTGTTGGGCACCGTCAACATCAGAAGACTTAGTGTGATCGGATGCCCGGAGCTCTCCTATGCTGTCGTGCTCGTCGAGGTCCTCACAAAAGCGATGCCCGGAAAATATTATGGTATAGTATTCCAAGCAACAGAGCCAAAAGGCGAACGTCGAGGTGGGGGCAACGTCGGAGACGATACATCGGTAGCTACTCGAGTACGGGCGCATGGAGGTGGAGGCTCGTGAGAGAATTGCCTTTGTAGACGCCGGCGGTCGTGGTGCCCGAGATCACCGACAAGGCACACTTCATGAGGCACAACGTATGGCGTTTGCTTTGATGAGCCACGCAAGGATTGAAAAGGTACCTGCTTCTTTCGCCTTTTTGCAGTACACATATAGAGTCATTCACAACCGACAATAGCATACATGAAAGGAAGAACCGCCTAGCAAAGGCCGGTAGGTGCTTCAAAAGCACCATCAAAGACCATCGCTGTAAAAAATGCTGTCGCCACCTTATTTGTTATAAGTGCAACGGAAGGCACGCACCAATTTGAAAACAATTAATTCATCACCGATTTATAATAAAAATGCGGTCCTACTACAGACATTTGGTGCATGGCCATAACCGAAAGCGACTCATGCTTTATAAGAAGTCGAACACTGTAAGACAACGGACATTCATTAGAGAAGAGATCTCAAAGGAGCTAGGATTATCTACAGCGCGCGCTATCGAAATGGATGTCAAGACAGTTGTAGGATCTAAAGGAGTGCCGAAAAGACGACTAAACATTGTCAAGGCGACGTTAAAACATTGACGTTAAACATTAAACCTATTCGACCACACCAAGCATGATGTCGAAGCTATACAAGTACCATTCATATGTGAGCAACGGATGAAACTCCAACCCACGAATCAATTTGCGCAACAGTTGCTACATGAAAAAACGTTTATTGCGTACAAAACTGAAATTACGGCTATAAAAGCAAAGACTGCATATGAGGTTGCTTGTGGGAGCCGAGAAGATGTACAAATTTATGCTCAACTATTCTCGTCCACATGGGCAGATTCGAAACCCATCTGCCTTTACCCGAAGCTGGGATGGACGATTCAAAGTCCGATAGCATGCGAAGAAATTATTTCTGCAGGTGCTATTACGGAAATCTATGTACTTAGCACGAGCTGCGTGATTCAGATCAGTCACATTCACTTCGACAATTTTCACATCTCGAGACTGGTAGCCATGAAACAGCTACAAATGACTACCAAAATGGCGCACTCCAAAAATTTAACGGGGAAATGCATCACAAGAATAAGCTCTTTAGATTCACAATTCTTTCGGAGCAACTGTAATCAGCTCAAGCAAAGAACCACACAACAACCGAGCGAAATGTTCACAGATTAGCACGACAGAGTGCCGCAAGGCAAGAGCACAAGCGACGACACAAGGCGATCAGGCAACACAACTTCGACGGACGTGCTGGAACCCATTCTTCAAAGACGAAGACACGTTTATCGGTGACAGGCGTACCGTCAGCATACGAATACGTCTTAAGGAAGCTAACATCACGTGCGGCTAGAAAACACTTGTGCTACTGCCGAACCGGTACCTCAGCTCACCGTTATGCTTGCTCAGCGAGAGGTATTTCATGTGGGTGTTAGTGCAACTTTCACCCAAATTTATGCCTATTTTGGGTGAGAAGATCCGTGCACGCCATTAAAAGCGAAATTAAAAATGTTTGATGCATTCTCGGTTTCTAGCAAACTTGACAGGTACACGGGGAGCAACTCGCCAGTGCGATCATAGGCAGAAGGATCTGAAATGACAAAAGTTGATTTTGTCGAGCTGGTTAGTGTGGCGCTAATCATGTGTGATTAGTGTTTTAAGCAAGGGCACCTTAGTGTTTCTTAAGTTTACGCTTGTGAGCCGTACTGGTAAAGTTGTTCGTCCATTTCACAATGCTATTCCATCGAATGCTTCACCTAAGGCCGGGAAGTTTGTTGATTACTTTATTAAAGAGAGAGGAAACCAAAGCGTGGTAACGAGAAAAGAGCTTGTGCCTGGTGTGTTCCAAATGAACGTTTGCCGAACATGGACAATTTTATTATTTATTTGATGTATTAAACATCTGTTTTCGCTCCACTCTATCGGTCAAGACACCTTTTTTTCTTCAGTTGTCTTTCGCACTTTCTCAGCCTATTTCTAAAATGTTCTGTGCCACTGACCAAAGGACGAAAGAGAGAAGGATGGGTTGTTTCTTGCTTGTGCCATCTTGGCTATTGCTGCCAAAATTACTTTGTTTGTGCAAATACTGTAAATACACCAGTCTTTTGTTGTCTCGCCGTAACAATATTGTAATGTTTTATTGAATCTACAATGGGACATTCCCGCAAGTTTCTCGATCGTAGATCATATACTTTTCAGGGCCACACAGCAGGTCATAGATGAAGTGGCACAGGCTGCTAATTTTGTTGACCTTTTCCATTAGGGACCACAATTCACAACCTGCATGAAAAACCGTTAAAAGCAAGCTTTACAGGCTTACTGGTTTAATGATAAATTGAACCGGCAGAATGACTGATTGGACGAGTTGGGGATCCATTACACTTGAAATGCGAGCGCGTAACAAAAACAGGGAATTAGGCTGGCTACCCATGTTGTTGTCAAGTTACCTCCCAGCTTTTGTTGTACGCTCGTGTTTCAAGTATTTTGAAGAGACAAGCATGGCTGCAGTTTTAGGCTATTTGAGTATGAACAGTAGCAGTCAAACAGCCTAGCTATGGAACTGGCATACTGGGAAAGTGAGGCTAAATTTTTGTGTCATGCCACTGTTTAGTAGAATATTAAGCTGCAACGCAATAATGTGTTTTTGCTCCACTCGTTTCAACATCTGTATTCAACTTGACATTCCCGCGCGCGGTATTTCACCGGTAAAGAAGTGAACTTTATTAAAGTGAACTTTACTGCCACATAAAGAAAAACATGTTTAAACAGCATGGTAAATATAAGCTGCATATAGGTAGCTTGGCTGGTGCCCCCTACCCGAACAATAACAGCAGAAGCAACAACATTAACGAGAATTCGCCCCTGGCACAACAACAAACTGGAAAACACAAATCGAAGCAATAAAAATTCAGTGAGAAACACACATTCTCAACAAACAGAAAAACTCTGTCGGTAGTTGTAAAATTAGTTGGCGCAATTACTTTTCAGAAAGATGCCGTATGTCCTCATTGCACAGATTATATTTATTTAGTGTTGAAGTAAAACATAATCTGTCCTGTTCCTCACACAATAGTTTGATGGTGAAGAACAGAAGTTCTTGTAAAGCAATTTCTTGTAGAGGACGGTGGGACAGGCGCGTGGCGGCGGATGTAGTTTGTATGACAGAAGCCAGCACACTGAATAGCTTCATTGAAATTTCGGCAATACAGTATAAATAAAAGAAGTTTTTATAGTTGAGTGCTTTCTCAATGACGTTAAAGTACTACCAAATTTCTGAACTCTATGTGTTCCCAGCAGCTGTTCAGTACTGCTAACACTCTACTGCTACGTTACTAGGTCAATAACCTACGGAATTAATTTGACATCTCCTACAAATGTTACTTTTTCTTTTTCAAACAACACACAATCAAAGCTCCGAAGTTCCACGAATCATACATATATGAAGTTTGACAGCAATGTGTGTATAGTAAAGCCAATTAAGCTCATCTTCATTGGAGCTGAAGCACCTGTTTTTTAAAAGGTTTTTACTGCAAGAATTAAACCTAAGTTATTTCGCTATAGTAGCCCCATTCTGCTGATATTTCGTAGGCTAAACAAACTATCTGAAACTTCAATTTGCCAAGCGCAATAAACCTCGCATGTATGAACTTCATTGGCAGACCTACGGCAACAACTTCATCGTACTTCCCACAAAAGCGACGGTCGATGCTTGACTATTTCACCTACACCGGATTTGAACGAGGGGCCAGAGTGCCCTTCGCAGCTTCAACTGGGAGTGCTCTTCAAAATAAATACCGGTATGACAACGAGTACCTTCTTTAGGTACATCTTTACTGTTAAAAAAAAAGACGTGATGGCTTTCGGATGACACTACAAGGCGATCCGCGTACCAACCGCTTTGGAAGTGAACGCTCTGAAACTCCATCACGAAGTGTGGCAGCTTGAGCTAGTTGGTATGGCATGACAATAGTTATAGCGCGAGAACAAAACGACGACACAGAGACAAGAAGGACACGAAAGACACGAGCGCTCGTGTCTTTCGCATCCTTCTTGTCTCTGTGTCGTCGTTTTGTTCTCGCGCTGTAACTATCGTCCACCACGAAGCAGTACAGCTTAGGCGTGGCAAATTCGGGAAAACTTATAAGCGTGCCTCTACCACTGCCTTCGTATAATTGTGTGCGCCACTGCTAGGGATGGCAGATAATTTTTACCGCTTGGGGTCTGCCGGTGATTCGAGCCCACTTCCAGCTCTATTCTCGCCAAAAATAGGTTTTGTGTCGCTTAGGCAGATGCCAGAGGAACGGAATATTGATATAATAACAATGAAAACGCAAAATTAGCTACACTTTTACGTCATTCGAAAAATTTTGCTTACCATTGTTTTGATGGCGAACTCTCAGTATGTCACAGTTGTCGTATTCGCTCGCCACGAACGTATATTGCGTATTAAGTGTCTTCACTGCAAAAAAAAAATGCAGCCAAAGTCTTTAACATCATTGTCTGCATACATTATAGGTAGCGAGAATATAATTGCTATCGCAGCAAGAAGCACAAGTTATGGCAAGGAATTATGACTTTGATATAGGGAAATTATCCTTACACTGAAACATTTATACTCCAAACTGAGGGTCGGCAACGTTTGTAGGTAGAGAGTGAAGTTACACGAAGCCGACAAGGCCATGGGCTGCACGGCCAATAAACAGGGAGGTTGGAGAGGTGGCTTTAAATTCTAAGAAAAATACATTCAGTGAATAGACTATCACGTATACAAAACTGGCAATATTTTTGGGTAAATTTTGGCTGTATTCTAGCCAAGCCGGAAGATGGGGCACAATGATAAATTTAAGATATATCTAACCATTTTGACAATCAAACTGTCTGTCCGCCTGTAAAATAAGATTCATCAAAAGAAAAGGCGTACAGTTTCTTAAAATAACTAGAATGGTGGCGCTGCGATCGTTTAGCGACTATGGTAATGATGATTAGTACACGGACTTGCCTAGTCTTCCTACATGCGGGCGACAAATCGCACTTGTGGTCTCATTTATTCCTGTGTTTTGGTTTTGTTTCGAAGGAAAAAACAAACCATTTTCAACTTTCTGACCACATTTGAAATGGTAAGCCTAAAGCAATAAGGTGGTGAAGCGGAAACGCTGAAGATTCGCTGAGTTTTGTTTTTGTTTTGTGACAAAACAGCTTCAAGCACACAAACACATTCGGAGCTAAAACTACGAAGTTTAGAAAAATCCGTGTACTACCCATTATTTCCATGCTCGCTAAAGCACCATACGTTGCAGTTCCCGTGGACACTAGCGCTACAGTTCCCTCTAGTTCCCTCTAATGTTTTTATAGGAAACTCTATGGAAAAAGGAAGTTCGGGTAGGAAAGGGGGAGGAGTGATTCAAATTTTCGACCAGGTCCAGCATATTACGGGCTTGAGGGCCACATGCAACCCACGAATCGTAGGTTGTCAACCCCTGCTCTAAGCAACTAGCCGCAATATTCCAATAATCAATATTTTGAGAATGCGCACTAAGAGTTGGCACAGCACAAGTGACTTTCGTGTTTTACGCACGAAAGCCGCAACAGAAGAAGGCTATCGCACAGCGCTATCTATAAACAGGTATTCCTTCTTGTACAAAGTGATCGACGGCACACTGACGCATTGGTTACCCTTTTTTGTATGTGATATGCCTCCAGTACCTCACGTGCTAACGTTTTCCTGCGTCGTCCTAACACACGTGCTTCTCAAAACAGTGGTGTGCAGCCGCACGAAGCACAATGTAACGACAGGTATGAACCCACGCCATTCTTAATTAATAATATATGTACCCTAAGGTCATCATTAACAAAGCGTCCTGTTTGGCCTATGGAGACTTTGCCACAGCTCAACAAAATTTCATAAATAATTCCCAAGATGTTTTTCCTTGCTAGTATCAGTTGCGCCGCCATTATTTCATTAAGCTATGCACCAACTCACCCAACGTCACATTCTGCTAAAACTAATGACGTGAACATACACGTGGCCTAATGCGCAGATGGTCGGCACATGACAATGGTGACTTCAAATTAAGAGAGCCACCTGCTAGCAAGTGCCATCCCTAAAACTCGAAATTTCGAAGAGGCTATAGAGCTGGTGCTTGGGTCCACAACGGTCAGCGTCGTAGTTAGTAACTCTACCTCCTCAGGCCCAAGAAGTCTAAGAAACAATACCAAGGGGGAGATGGAACCTTGCGACGAAAAATCTGTAAACAGGGTTGTGTTCATCTGACGTTTGCACTAGCGAGCTTCTCTTTCTGAAGGCTATATTTGAACTGTTCAAGCCTTGGGGAAGACAATTCCGCTTGTCGAGTTTTAAGGAAGACAAGTCTGCTCCTCGAAACGTCGACTCGACACAACCTCTCTTTACAAATCTTTCATCACGGGCCTACGAAGATAATTTGAATTCAATTGATTTCAAACTTTTTTATTTTCATATTTGGCACACTAGAAAATGTAGACAGCTTTGTTTCGGAGCAATATTATAAAACTTGCTATATTTGCTGATTTTTACCAATTACAAATATTGCTTTTATAATTTATCTAAATAATTTAAACAACTCGTTAGTGCAAGTTAGAACACAAATTAGGTACAAGAAATGATTACACTTAATTGGACACCATTCATCATTGCTGTCACATATGGTGGGTAAAAATTAGCAGCCGATCCACAAAGTGAATGCTGATAATGAAGCGAAGCTGAGTCCTAAGGCCATAATGTCTGCGTTGAAGTCATCGAATAGTATGAAAGACGGACAGTTAGACGCATGTACGTATGGACAGACGGACTCACGTGCAGATGAATGGACTGACGCAAGCACGTACGTACAGAAGGATGGACAGAGTACCGTCTGTTTTTAAACCATATGTGCGCTATGAATGCTCCATGTATGGTGTGCGGAACACCTCAGTTTTGGTCCGACGGGAGCTATGACAACTATCACGTCAACGAACATCATACGAGCCTGAGGAGCTTCGCTTGTAAAGATAAACGGCGGGAAATTCCATTTGCGTGCTTCCAGGACGGAAACGTTGTAGTTTCTGAGAACGCCTTTTCAAACTGACCGTACGTCCCACATACCCAGCACAGAGCGTCATCTCGTTGGGCTTAAGTATAGTAATGCCTTCCACATTAGAAATTTAAGTTGAGTATAAAGATATTTCCTTCATAATAAACGTCGCTTGCTCCAAGCAATATTCCCAATAGTGGTCATGGAGATTGAAGAGGCAAATACCGCAATTCGTAAGTTCACTGATGGAAGCGCCTCTAAGGAGGCGATAAGTATTATGACCACCTATGGCGGAGAGCATGACCATTACGTTACATAGTCGCACACCCACTCCTTTATCCTGGGCAATGAAACTGCGCGTGCGCTAGCTCAAGACTCAGCGAAGTGAGCAGGGGCAATAATGACGTACTTGCGCATGCCAAGAGAGAGTACATGGTCAAAAATTCGGCTTATCTCACGTGAGTAACTTGGGATTCGACGGTATGCGAAGCATGCAGAGGTAAGATCACCGTGTTGCACTTTTTTATGGCGCGACACGTCATGGAATGACGCTAAATATATGTACTAATGTTGCACACACCGACATATGTTGAAGAGTTGCAGTTGTTTATATAACCAGTTGTTTGCACTTGCGCAACGATCCAAACTGGAACGTGCGTATTAGCAACAGCAGAAGCTGATATTAAGCGCTGATTCTCGCGAAGATGCTGGCCCTAGACACTGCTATAAAAATCAACTTTAGCGCATGGCAACTAACCACAATTGATGTTAACCCAGCGTGACGGCTGTATTGAAGGATTACATATGTAATGGTTATAGGATTGGGTAGGCAGCACTGCAACTACAATTGGCGTTTCACGAAGATTAGCATCTATTTAAAAGTAGTTCCGAGACCTGGCGTAGCTCTGGGGTAAAGTGCTTCATTACCATGCAGAATGGTTGGGTTCGAATTCAGCTGGGACACTGACTTTGATTATTTGCATTCGTTGAGTTGACGCTACTGATTTCAGGTATTACTTAAACCTCGTGAGTTAAAATTCCCCATGCGTGTTCTCGTCGTTCCTCAGTAGATACTAAGTGTAAATCACTGTGGAATATACCCGCATACCAGCAGCACATACATACCCACCCGTTGGTATGTGCCACTGTATGTAAGGAAGCGTTTGACGATGCACGCCATGGGACTGTGACATTATTCATGTTTTGACCAGCGCGTCATATTCGTCGAACCATCTTGCCCTCCAATGCTGAATTGGGTTCACGCCAAGTGAAGGGGGTGACCACGCATGAGAGTACCAAAAGGTAAGCAGCTAGATAGATAGATAGATAGATAGATAGATAGATAGATAGATAGATAGATAGATAGATAGATAGATAGATACGCTCAAATTCACCAAAGTTCGCTAAAATGCTTCGCATTTATTACAATGAAATGAACAAACGCTCTAGAATAGGATGTCAACATTGCCACCTCCAATAACCCTCCTTACTGAACAAACAGTAGGCGACAGAACGGTGATCATTTTGAAGATCTTTCCAAGCCCAATCACTCATAACCTTTGTTACTCACACCTCTACTCCGTTAGACGTAAACACTGGAATCAGTGGCCGCACTTCAAAGACAATATTTAGGCGTTCCCCAACATTACCAAAAAGCCAAACACATATATGAACGCGAAGAAATGAGGCATCATGTTGTTAAGCTCAGACATTGAGGACCACCCACAAGTCGTCAGGCAAGCGGAAGAACGACTCTTAGATGCCATCGAAATCAGGGGAGATAAACACCTCTTAGACTTCTTACTTCATTATCGTGCGCATTTTCGCAAGGAAAGAAGAGCCTCACTGATGGGCTATAAAGCAGGACACAGGCACGGGCTACCTACGCCTTCAGTCCTCGAACACATCATGAGGACCCAATTTTGAGCAGCGGGCCCTCGCTTTGCCTTCATCGGGAGGTACCCAGTTTATATCGAGATGTAAGCGTTGCTAAGGTTCAGTGATGCCACAGTGACCAATAAAGTGTAGACGCCACTGTTGGCATTTCTAGTTGAGCTTTGGTTCCGTCAATATACTGCTGCAATCTAACCACTAACATCAGGCATTGTTCTAGGCGAGTTTGCTGAAGCATCGGTACTCACGGTAAAGAATATTAAAGATGATAGTCTTTCTTCGGGACCTTCGACGGAAAACTTTTGATCTGTCTGTCTGATTGTCTGTACATTTGTCTGTTTGTACACCCTTAACGATACCTAAAATGGCACCAAACGGCCGTACCATCCACAGCACCCACCAATATTGCTCAAGGTTGAGTGTTCATAGTTGTGCGAATGTCAAGTAAAAAAGAATAATTGCGCATATCTGAGGCACCATAACAACACGTCGATGTTTTTTATGTGTGCCTTAATTC